AGAGAGAGAGAGAGAGAGAGAGAGAGAGAGAGAGAGAGAGAGAGAGACTGGAAGATATGACATAGAGACATATAGGAGACCCACTAATTTCTCGGCTGTACTTTTACAGCCGCCCTGCACCCAGGAGAGCGCCCATGCAGAAACCAGGTAACCTTGCCTGCAGTACATTCTCTCCAAGTGCCGTTTCAGCTTTTTCTATTTAGATGAGCACATTAATATACGTCTGTGTGTGTGTGTCTGTGTGTGTTCTGTGTGCAGGGCTGTGGAGGAGTACAATCCATCTGCCGAGACCCAGAGGAAAAGGCAGCTCTTCAGGTAGAGAGCTCTGTCTGCACAGACGCGTAGTCATTTATCATCTTAATCTGGTCAGCCTGAATGTGCAGTGGAAACAAAATGAAGACCTAGATTCTTTTTTTTTTCGTTTAAGATTCTTAGAAATCTTGCACATACCGATAGATGATTTATGTCAATGGCATATCAGCAGGTGTGCAGTACTAAGGTTGTAGGATAACTGTGGATGTGCCTCACAGGGGGAGCCGTGACAGCTCCAGCTCCAGCTGGACGGGCAGCAGCAGGCAAAGTAGCACCGAGACGGATTGTCGCTATAGCACCGACCCCCGGCCTTGGAGCAGCACGGACTCTGACTCCTCCTACCAGTGGACGAGTCCGGCCCTGAAACCCCACCAAGCCCCCAGCCACAGCTGGGACGCACGTGGTTCAGGTGCGTCTCTTTCAGAATAACATCTAGAGACTTTTTAACACTTCTCTGCTGCACCTTAAAGGTGTAAATTGAGTCAGTCGAGGGAGAGACGCTTCTACCTTTGGGCAAGCAAACCTATTAGCAGATTTAGTCAGCACACCACACTTGGGAAAAAACGCTGTTTATAAATGATGTCTGTTCTTTATTCAGCATCATCTAATTAACAAAAAGCAGTGGAAATTCTTTCTGGTGTGAAAATCTCGATCACGAACCTTCACACCATAGCTGTACATTTTCACACAACACCTCCAGTCTCCTTTGCATATTCAGGAAGAACATCATTGCTAAGTATGTCAAGTTTAAGTTTATTGTCATACACATTAAAAAGTAAATTTGTACATTCAAATGCAAGGAAGTGCATCTGCCCTGGTTCCCGCGTCCCTTAAAAACTACTAATAAATAAGAGTCGACAACAATAAGAAGAAATTCTACAATGATAAATAAATCACTGAGTTATTTAGAGTACTTATATATATATATATATATATATACTATATTTTAAAGCGCTTGCCGTTCAGTAGTCTTTGAGGCGGCTGGTCCTCTGATGCTCTGTAGTCGTTTCCTAAGGGAAGGAAGGAGACCAAACCATGTGCTCCATAACAATTAGGATCTTTCTTTTGCAAATGTCCTTAAATCTGTGGCAGTAATGTTCCTATGATTTTTTTAGCACATGCGGGGGCGGAGTGTTTCGTTTTTTTATCAGATTAAGATGTTGAAATGTGAATTTGTTTTGTACCGTGAGAATAAAGCTCTTTCCTCTTCCTCTTTATTTCCTAATATTTACTTCTCTTCTACTTTCCTCTCTCTCTCTCTCTCTCTCTCTCCCTCTCTCTCTCAGGCTCCATCTCTCTTTTCAGACTGCCGTCCACTTGTCCCCTCCCCTCCTCTCCTCCCATCATAGATGAGCCGGCTCCTAACTCTACCTACATCATGGTGAACGGGATCCCACCAGGAAGCATACTAGTGAACCCACATACCGGTATGTAACACACACAGACACACACACACACACACACACACACCAAGAGTACATACACAACACATGCACATTTAACACACTCAACCCTTTGACCTCTTAGGGCAGCCTTTCATGAATCCTGATGGAACCCCTGCTGTGTACAACCCTCCGGACAGTCAGCAGCAAATCAGGAGCCAGACCCAGCTGCAGGGACCTCCCCCTCAGCACCAACAGCAGCAGGTAACACACACACACACACACACACACACACACACACCCATGTACACACTCAGCAGGACGTGTTTGACATGTAAGACAGGATCAGACGGCATACATGTCGCTGCCTGTGTCCTTATCTCTGTCCCCATATGTGTGTCTCTCTCAGGTGGTTCAGTACTCTTCTGTCTCTTACACCGCTCCACAGATGTTGCCTGTCACTCCCTCACAGCCGTACACCACAGTATGTATCTCTGTACAGTCTGACAACCGCTGCGCACACGTGCGTTTACAGCATGCGTGTATGTGTACGGGCGTCCGCGTGCGTGTTGACCTCCTTTCTCTTCACCGACAGATTGAAGATCTCTCCTCGCAGTTTGCTCATGTGAGCTGTCAGTCGACTGGTGAAGCCCCGCCCATCTACCCTCCCAGTCAGGGTTACATCTATGCATCTCCTCCTCCTCCTCCTCCCAGCTACTGCCAGCCCTCACCTCCGGTACAGATACATTATTCTATGGTCATATAAGATGCATTAAACATTGCTGTGTTAAGAAAACAAAATGTATAAATTCTGCATTGAGTAGCTTAAATTCTGGTTAGAAAGTAATTTATTTAACTTTCACATTTATTTAGCCATTCAAAGAAAGAGTTTAAGGTAAATAACAGTAAGTACTAAAGCTAGTACTAAAGTACTAAAGCTAGTATTTTTCACATTATTTCCCTATAGTTGCCTGTGTATTACTACGGCCAGTACCCTACCTCAGCCCAGCACCCATGCAGGCCTGTCTCACCGAGCCAGCACCTCCACAGCCAAGCAGCGCAACCAACAGGTACTTCCCACCTGTGTGTGTGTGCGTGTGTGTGTGTGTGTGTGTGTGTGTGTGTGTGTGTGTGTGTGGTGGACAGATGCAGGAGGTAGCGTGGCAGTAGAGAAGGGGGCCGTTACACTGTCAGAGATGTAGTCTGAGGGTCTCACAGTGAACCGGTCTCTTTTCCTGCTGCTTCTATTCAACGCAGTGACAAAGACCGGTT